CGTTTTATATATGACGACAATCGTCGCGTTGGATGCGAATAACGAACGCTCACCCATGATGTAGCGAATTGCTATTATATATTATTAATAAATGTTTTAATAATTGTACTAAAGATAATTACGGTTGCTTTATCGCAATGACGACAATATCCGTCGATAGCGAATAATAGCGGTAGCGTAAATCAGAATATAATCGTAATGAAATAATAATAATTGTATAATCGTAATAACAATAATAATCCAAGTGGCTAGCGACAACTATAATAGCGGTATTAATGTACACACGATAACAGGAAATAGAACAATTCGGGCGGAACGCGTTGCGTGCGGCACGCCGAGAAAATGCATACGATAGAATAGAATATATCGTGCCGCACAGAAAGAGAGAATTTCTTCGGCACGATGCATTGGTGATACATACATCTATACGTTACGCGATTATGTCATCGAAAAATCTCGTCGAGACATACGGCTCGAAGCGTATCATCAAATATAACATGTAATATCTAGGACACGGCTGGTCTTTCGCGATGAGTTTCACGGTGAGTCGTGTTTTATGCCCATTTATATCAGCTTACAGATCAACTTTAATCTCAGTCTTCGACTTACTCTTCGTTTCTCTTTAATTTTTCGAATTAGGAAAAAAAACAATGAAGAGTTAGTTGAACCAAAATTAAAATTAAACTATACATTGTGTCAGAAACGGGCATATTATTCGGTTAATTGGTCCTACTATAGCGCGTGCTAATTCTTTTAGTAAGACGAAAAAACGAGAATAAGGGCACATAAAAAAAAAAAAAACAAAACGTTAAACAGTCAAATGTAAGCAGTAGGCGAATTGGCCAATCACAGTAGAGACTGTAAGGCTATAATAAGTAAATCCGACATATTAATTTCTTTACTGTTCACGTTTTACTGAACGTTTGTTTGCTGCGCGGCCACGGCCTTGAGTGAGACAACAAGCCTGTAAAAATAGTAGCATGATTGTGTGCAGCGGGTCTGGAGGCGGGTAGCATCTGAGCCAAGAGAGCTCATCCGTGAAACTTGCACGTTCTCTCCGCACAGTCTCCTAGTTATAGCATACAACAAACTTCCAACAAACGTATACGCGTAAACGCAACTAATAAATAGTATAACTATAAACGTAACAGCCTGGATACAGCGGCAACGCGTAACAACGATGGCAGTGACACTCGTCGCTCGTCCTTTGTTAGATTCTAGAGAAAAAAAAATGGAAAAGGAGCGTTGACTAGGATTTGCTAGAAATTTACTGGGGG